ATCTGCTCAAAAACAATGACCTAGCCCACTGGAGTCCAGCTGAGCTGTTTGTAGGCCCGCCTGTGGTGGCTAGCGATCATGGACACACACTTTTTCGCTGGTCTCACCAAATTTAAGCTCGACGCGGGCAAATTTCGTCGGGATGATGACTTCTCAGATCGATTCAGTCACACATTCACCACACTACTGCTGGTCATTTTTACCCTGGTCATTTCAGCACGTCAATATATTGGCAAACCAATTGCCTGTTGGGTTCCGACTGAATTCACCCGAGCCCAGGAAGAATATGCTGAGTCCGTGTGTTGGGTGACCAGTACGTATTTCATTCCAACCAATGATGTGTCTGTTCCCGTGAAAATCGCCGACCGGGAAGATCGTAAAATTCACTACTATCAATGGGTTCCGTTCATTCTAATGTTACAAGCGTTTCTATTTAACTTGCCATGTATCATATGGAGATTATTCAATTGGCAATCTGGTATACATGTGAGTTTATTCACTTTGATCGCTGTGTATCGCTTTTATCTAGAAACTCTACTCACGGCAGTTGGTAGAATGAGTTTGAATGAAAAAAGACGAGGGGCTGCAGCCATAGAATACTCATTTCCATCTAAGAAAAGTGCTTAAATCTTGTTCAGCATTCTATTCAGAAGGTCCTAATTAGACTTTAGAAATCCAGAGGCTAATCGCTGCATTCATTTGTGCCTCATGTTTGTTCTAATGACTGAGGCAGGTCAACAAACTTCTCAAACTTGATAATCTATCCGTTTTTCCTCATTTCAACGGAGCTCATGTGTGGCTTACAACCCAAGAGAAATAAATGGAAATTCTATGTTGGAAACTCATTGGGCTGTGCAATTCAGGGCTTTAAAACAACACAGCAATACAGTCAATGACTCAAAAGGTTGAAATAAATAACTCCTTGTACACAAAATGAGTTGTCACAGGTAGTGTTTACTCCTTGTAATCCGAAACATATGCCGATTACGCTGATAAACTACTCATATAGCGAGTTAGAGCGACAATATGGCAGCTCAGGGTTCGAATCTCAGTGAATTTATAGACTTGGGCAATTACCCCAACGTATATTTTGGCAGAGTGGTACAAAATATGATTTTGTTCAGGAAGATAAAGTCCTCGGGCTTAGAAAATGAATATCCGCTAAAAGTATTGTATAGGAGAATTTAACATGTTCCCTGGTGCCCCGAATGAAAATGATAAGTCTCCAGCACTTCAAGCACCTCTGATAATCGATTGTCAGATTGCTGTTACAAAATGAATTCACATTTCAATAGTTGGTCAGTGTGCATTCCAAACTGAAAATGAATAAAACAACAGTCGTCTAAGGGTAATATTGGTTCACTACGTTCACAGAAAGCATGAAACAGCCAACTAAGCATCATGGGTGACACTCATTCTGTGCGACAAATGGAAGTGTAACCCATCAGTTTTTTTCTAATTACATTAGCAAAATATCCGATACATGATATTCACGGAACCAATCAGAATTAGGTCAAATGAACTGACCGTATTGGTTAATGTATTCATCAACTAATCCTTGCTAAATCAATTTTGATCAGAGAAGAGATAAGTAACCTAAAAGGACAGTTTTATAAGGATATCTTGAAAATCCTAATTAACTAATTGATTAGCAAATCATTTTGCTCGTGAATATTTAGTTCAATATGGGGTTTCCTTTTACTAAGATTCGTGTTTTGTAAACTTTTGCGTGCTGTGACTGATTATTTTATTCCATCTGGATGATAGGCTGTATTTGAGGAACATTTTTAGTGGTCGAAAAGGGGTTTTACGGGGTGATAGGAACCTATTAACTCACAAACAGTTTGTGTGATCCTCCCATCAAACCCAACCGATTGAGTGATATTAATATGTCGATTACTCAATGACAAACCTGGAATTACAACAAGATGGTGAAAATTGAATCGCTGCGACATAAAAATATATCAAACAGACTGCTAAATCAATAACTATCCAAAAGACCCACTGAAAGACAAAACCGCGTCACGTTTGAGTTACCTATAAATCGATGTTCCTATGGTCAATATAGCATCTCATTTTGGTTATATCTATGTTTTGACTTAAAACATTATCGATTATTGTCCATCTCTTGACTGGCCAGTGTTTTATATTCACCAAAAACCTCCAGTGCTTATATACAATGGAAAATAATAGGGGAAACTCAGTCGATAAATTTATTAGATTTGCTGGATACCACATTATTTTGCAAAATAGAAACGAACTCCACTTTGCAGTTATAAATTTCTGATTGCTGTGAACCGGAGTATGAGTCAAAGTTCGAAACGTCGTAAATTCATTCGTTCACGATCCCTGTCCTTTCTAGACTTTAATCGAAAACAATTGCCGCGTTATTTTGATGGACATGAGTGGGGGGGGGGGGTTAACACAACCGACCATGTACACACACACAAATCATTGAACACATGTTTGAGGATTCGATCCGATTCAACAGCAACTGCACCTGACAGAGGCTGCTTTGATGGCTGAAATCAGCGTCAAATAAGCAAGATGTTCGTTCTCGTATGTGCGTGCGCGCGCGCGACTCAATCAACTAGCTGCATCTGACTTTGAAAGCCAAGAGCAGCTGCGTTAGTACGTAATGTGAGAGGACGATTGTGATGCTTGTTTGAGGTCGATAAACCGGAGAAGCCTAACTGCTCTCTTTATAAGAAATCTGATTTAATTGCTATTGTCCATGCCATCTAATCTGATCCATTGCAGCTTGGTGAACGGAATTTCCAGTTAATATTTGTAACATACCACGGTGTAGACCTAGTAATACTCTCACTTACTTTGCTGCTACAACCTATAACACTGAAGTTATTGCACCGACTTCGGGAACGTCTAGGCATTGACAAAATGTCCAACAAAAGAACTGGTCTATATGTATAAATATCGGACAGTAGCATAACTAATATGCGGTTGCACTGAGGCTTTATTTTGAGCGAAACTGCTTCATGATTGTTTGGTTACATGTTTGAAACAGATGCAACAATTTATTGCGGTGCACAGCCCCACAGATCTACTTCTAACGCAATGTAACAAGCATCAGGCGATGTGATTGCTCATCCACATGGTGAGGATTCAGACTGCAAACCGCTAAGGGCTTCACTCTCTTACATATCTGCCAATACAGTGGTGAGTACTGTAGCGAATAGTAAAAGGAAAATAAATAAATAACAACTTGTGCAGAATAACCGCTTGTCAATGGCTATTTAAGGTAATGAGCGTTATACAAGTGTTCCCTAAAAGCACTGTATATTACTACCGGTTAATAGAAATGATACTGTCGTTCTGAACTGCTTCAAATTCCGGATTGTCCACACTGCGATCGGGAAAATGTGATGTGTAAATAGGAAAAGTGTACAAAGCGTTTGATAATACAATCTGTTGATCCCTATTCAGAGCATCTCTAATAGAAAATAATTAAAATAACATTCAGCTATGTTTTGCAGAACACTCAAAATGAAAACTTCTTTATTCGTATTACCTGCTGGAGTGTACAATTATGTTTTCATAATCAACAACGTATTGAGTCATTTTATCGAACAGTAGTTACTGTACAATTACAAGATCAGAAATTTGTCCGAGTTCAGCAATTATCGGTTGAAATTAAAGCATTGGCTATCAGAATTACAGTTCATGCTCTAAGTCCCCCTCCTTGATCCCGCTGAGTTATGGTTCATTTCTGTGCAGTCCGGACCAGAGGAAGGCGGTCCCTCGCGCATATATTGCTTTAACCAACTTAGTGCATTTTGTCAAAACAACTGAGTCTTGTTCACTTTTTTCTTTTCTTCAATTTTTCATTTTTACTTCCTTTTATTGAGTACACAATGAAACAATCTTCAGGAAGGGGGGAGCGGCCAATCAAAGGGCTACCATGGGAAAGTCAGGCGGTAGTGGTGGGGTTCGAACACACGTCCCCCGAGGTGGTAATTTGGTGACGTTACCACCGGGTCACCACCGCCACTTCAGCAGAAACATGAATGATTTCTCCGTATTATATATTTCCCCAATGTTGCCTGATCACATGTGCATGGAATTCATTTGGACGAAAGAATTAACGATCTGTTCATCCTGATTCCATAATGTACTATTCGGAAACCTTCCCACTGTGTATGATATTGTTGGTTACTTAATGAGGTGCTTGGCAGATATTTTTTGAAAAGTTAATCAAAATTTTAAATGAATCACTATTGTCATCCACTGAAATAGATAAGATTCACATGTTCCAGTTTGGTATCAGAAGATGCAAATAACCTTCATCGTCACGAACTACCTTTCATTACATGTTGAATGTAGCGATTAAAAAAATTCAATACCGCTCTTGTGCATGATGTGTCCTAGCATACTCATAGTTGAAAACACGCCCCGGTTGCGAGTCCGTTTGTTGACGCAACATCCCTTTATACAATACATTATAGTTAAATGCAGCGTGCGCTGAACATGTGTTAGTGTGTGTGCCAGCCTTTATGTTTTCGGTCCTTTTTGTCCACATTCAATCCGGTTGGTGTAACAGAATTTCTAAATCAGAACATCTCTCACGAACAATGAAACACGCAGACCAAATCTAAGAAACCCGATGAGAAAAATCAATGGTAAATTAGTCCAATCACTTGGAACCACACCCTGGACAGATGGGAGTTTGTCTGCGGAAGATTGTCTCACAGGTTTGAGCAGGAGGTAAACAGCACGCATGCATACAATGAGAAGCACATACACACATGTGATTGTTTGCACAAGTTTGACTGTATGTGAGCATTGGAAGATAAGCTGTTGGGGAATCGGGAAATATCGGTGAAACCAAAGTCCGGTATTAGAATGTATAAATAACGATGTCAAACGTGTGTATATGTGCACATTCCCTACTGCTGAATAACAGTGGCATAATAAAACGAAGTTTCGGTTACGTTTCACACCCATATATCTTTGTGAAGAGTCCTTCGACAGTCAAAACATTATATAACCAGGATTAGTTGTGGTTGGCGCGAACGTAGCGTCGTTTTCTGTGACTGGATGTGGGACAGGGGTAAACAGTCACTAGCTGAAATCAGTATGAGTGCTCTTCAGCTTACTATGAAAGGAACGCACAGCCACCATGTGATTACCAAGCCATATATAAATTGAATCCAATGTTATTGATAACCTACTGCTTGTTATACCTCGTCAGCACTTCATTGAGTAAAATCATGATCAGTTTAAAAGGCAGTTAACGTTCAAGGTGAAAGGTTTATTTTCTCGAGAATTTACCATGAAAAACAATGAGTTTGGGCATGTTTTCATAAAACAACCCCTGATTGAAGTTTAAAATCAAACAGTTTACAATACAGCCTGTAGATTATCATTTAAATGCGGACAGCAATATGTATTTTTAAAAAGGATATTTTTGCATCACCTATCACCCATCAGTTAACCGCGATCGATAATCTGTGGAACACGGCCCTGTGTATAGAATGCCAATCAAACATGGAAAAACGAAATAGCGAGTTAGTGTGAAACATTAAAGTCCATTGAAGTTCAGTTCTTTATTCAGACCGATCTCTATGCCCCAACGTGTGGTCCATTCAACTGTCGATAGACATCAAGAA